TAGAAGAATCTGAGTTTTACAGAGATGGAATAATATGCTTCAGATTGTATCCTAGTACATTTCCAAATTAGGATAGTCAAATCCCATCTGCAGGCAAACCTGTGATCCTAACCACAACACCATATTGCCACAGTGTCACCTTTGTTGACTGACATAAAAATTTAGATTGGTTTGCAAAGTCCTCCATAGCAAGAGACTCTTACATTTGTTTTTATATTTTACTGACTAACATAGTAGGTTTGCGATATTCATAAAGAATAAATAAATTTGTTAAAAAATGTTTCAAACATCTAAATATATTTAAACCATGGCACTGCATAAAATATTGTCTGTTTTCCCTTTAGAATTTGAAAATTAAAAAGAAAATAGAGCATTTAAAAATGTATTGTGCCTCATTTCTGTTTTCACATGCTTTTTTCTACCTGGGGATTATAAAATATAGAAACTGGCCCTTTGTCTTTTTTGAAATTTTGAATCAGAAGAAGCATAATCTATTCCTCACTCTTTATAAAAGGAAATAATGAATTCTTGATCAAATGTATGAACTAATGCATCCCTGCCAGCCAACATGTATCTCTAGTCACTTGAAAAATATCATAATAATCACTAAATTATAGAAATTTGAGTTTAAACATTTTATATATTTTACCAAATTTGATACCTTCTAAAATCAAGTAAGGTAAGCAAGATCAGCATAATTTTTCTTCACTTTATATGTAGAAAAGTTGAAGATTAGAGAATTATAAATGATTTCCTTACCCACAATTCAAATGTGGCATCCTTCTTGTTTCTTTTCCTTTTTCTCTTGAAATTCCTCCTCATCTTTCTCTTTTCTTATTAATAATACTAGACTAGTAATTTATATTGCTGTCATGATAGCACTAGTAACAGATTAAATTTGGCATATAAAATGTAGCTTCCTTTTTTCTCTTTATTGAATCATAAGGACTGCCTTCAGTCTTTTCAAATTTATTAAGACTAGTTTGTGAACTAACATATGTTCTACTTTAAAGAATGCTTCATGTGAGCTTGAGGAGAATGTGTATTCTGCTGCTGGTGGGTAGGATGTTCTGTTATTCTGTTAGGCCATTTGGCCTAATACTGTGAAAGTCCACATTTTTCTTACTGATTTTCTGTCCGGGTGATCTGTCTGTTGTTGAAAGTGCAGTCAAGTATTCTACTCTCATTGAGTTGCAGTCTGTCTCACCCTTCAAATATAATAAGATTTGCTTTATATGTTTAGGTTCTCCAATGTTATATATATATATATTTAAAATTGTTACATCCTCAGTGAATTTGACCTCTTTCTCATTATGAAGTTCTTTGTTTCTTTTGATAGTTTTACACTTAAAGTCTATTTTGTTTAAATATCTACCCCTGTTACCTTTGGTCACCATTTTCCTAAAGTATCTTTCTCTATCCCTTCACTCTCAGTCTGTGTGTGTCCTTAAAGCTAAAGTGGGTCTCTTGTAGGCAGTATATGTTTGGATCTTTTAACTATCTATTCAGCTACTCCATGTCTTTTGATGGAGAACTTAATCAATTTACATTTAAAGTAATTATTGATAGGTAAGGATGTGCTAGTAATATTTTGATACTTTTTTTTTTAACTAACTGTTCTATAGTTATCCTGTTCTTCTATTCCAATTTTGCTGTATTTTTGATTCTTTGTATTTTTATAGTTGTATGCGTTAGTTATTTATCTTTTGTGTATTTACTAGAAGTTTTATTTTTGTGATTATTATAAGACTTACATAAAACATCTTATAGTTACAATGTACTAATGTAAGCTGGTGATTCCTTAACTTCAATCACATATAAATACTCTAAATTTTACATCTTCCCTAACCACTATATTGTATACTTTTGATGTCACACTTTATATCTAATTACATTGTGTTTATTCACCAATTGTTTATAGTCAGAGTTGCTTTCAATATTTTTTAAACTCATATTAAAGAATGACTTACATACCACCTTTACAGTATTCAAGTATTATAAATTTGACAGATATTTACATTTACCAGTGAGTTTTATACTTTTATATATTTTTATATTTTGTTTCAACTTGAAAATTTTCCTTTAAAATTCCTTTTAAGCAGTTTAAGGATCAGACTGATATAGTGTCTTCTATGTTTGCACAGTATGTAGCATAAAATAGCTACTCCATATATATTAGTTAAAGGAATGAATAAATTATATGTACTTGAAAGGTATCCCCAATATTATTGCTTAATAATAAAATTATACATAATTAGTGTGTATTTCCACTGAAATATGACTGGCTCTTCCTTTTGCAAATTTGGTCATATTAAAATACATATATATGTATGATATACATATATAAAACACATGTATGTATAAAATCACACTATATACTTTATAATTTATTTATTTTGTATATATGTATAAAATGTATAATTTAAATAGAGTGTATTTTATATGGTATATTTTAATAGAGTTCATTTTGTACATATATGTATTTAATATACATTAACATAATGTATAGATATTATATAATACACTGATATATGTAAAATCTATGAATGATATATAGCATCTAATAGATGTAAACTCCTAGAGTTTACTTTCAGAATGACAACTATAATTTTTAAGACAGAAAAATATTTTTATTAGATGCTATACATATATCAATGTCTACATTATATAATATCAATACATTATATATTATGTAATCTATAATAATGAAGTATTAATATATACATATTACATATATATAATATGTAGCTATGTACATAGCTACATATCTACACATGTATATATTATACATATGTACATATACATTGATATAGTATACACATACTATATATAGTATATATACTATACACATATAAGTGTACACCTATGCATACATGAACTTTCACTCATATGAACCACTCCTATGAATGGTATGAAAAGTAACTATGCTATTCTCTTGTGTGTGCATGAAATGTGCGACTGTCTCAGTATAAATGCAAGTTTTAAATAATTCAGACTAAGGTAGTAAACAACTGGGGCCTCATGTGTCCTCTTTTGATTGAGCTCTGCATCATTCCGTGTTGCTTTAAACTGCCTCATATACTCTTTTCTCAGTACTTTTCTGCTAGTTTTGCAGCAATATAAATTTACACATGACAAAATGTGTTGGATGTTATAAAAACCAAACAAAGCAATGGTACTGAGGCTGGGTGAAATGAACATTTTTCTTTGAAACTGAGCACACAGAGTGACTTCTAATAATTCACCATGGACAGCATGAGCTCAGCTATACTAAAATGGTTCAAGAAGCTGGGAAATAATGTCTCTTAGTTCTAGCTGTCAAAGTATAATCACCCCAAGCTCACTTTATTTAATACTCTTTGAAAGTTTGTGGAGGCGACTTTCAGTAATAAGGCTTGACCAACATAACATAAAATTCTACATTCAGCTTTCAAAATATTGACCTTTTTTTTTTTTTTGCCTGAAGAAAAAATATAGTGAGGGTTCTATAATTAAACTCTAAATAGGACAAATTAAATGACCTGTTTTGTGGTGCCCCAGAAGCTTGTAAGGTCTTGCACATGTGTCTCTGCTCCAAGCTGCTTCAGAGAATAAACTTCAGGTAGCACAGCTGGACTTCTTTTCTCTGGATCCATCATGCCCCTGATCCAACCTCTTTCAAGAATTTGCAGAGGCACTTGCAGGAATATTTGTAGCCATATTCATCCAAACATGCACCATACCCTAGTGTTTGTGATCATATTTCTCTTCTGTGCAAATAGGATTGGAAGGATCATGTTTATACATGCAATAATCCCCTCTTATCTGCATATGCATATACATACATACACACACATACATATATATATATAAAATTTTAAAACATTTTATACATACACACCTATGGCAAAGTTTAATTTATAAATTAGGCACAGGCAACAATGATAATAAAATAGAACAATTATAACAATATGTCAGCCTCACTACTCTTGCACTTGGAGGCCATTTTGAAGTAAAGTAAGGATTACTTAAGCACAGGCACTTCAGTACCAAATCAGTCAATCTGATAATCCAGATGGTTATGAAGTGACTATAGGTGGGTAGCCAACACAGTGTGGATACACTAGACAAAGATAGGATTGATATCTAGGGTGGGATAGACAGAAGCAAGCTAGAGAAAAAAAGTTTTAAGTTTATACTTTAAGTCCTCATCAGAAACCCAAACTAACCCAACATCACTAGAATTAATTGTCAACAGTTTGAAGAATGAGCCATAGTGTGGAATACAAACCAGGTTTTACATTGGCTTCTGGGTATAGTGCAAGCATGGAAGACCAGAATAGCACAACAAAGACTCAAAATTCAATTGGACTTTGAATCATAGCTCACAAATGTGGGGCAGAACAAGTTTTCTGAACCCAAACAGATTTATTTCCTGTGAATATAGCAGAGTTAAAGAGAACACGATTCTCATACCTGTAATTTTTAGCATATAATTAATAATTCTGTATTATACCAAGAACCAGAAAAATCTTAACTCATATGAGAAATGACAATTACCAGATGCCAAGACTGGTATGAAACAAATGTTAGAATATCTAACATGACTTTTAAGGCAGCTGTTATAAACATGCTTCCAGTAACAATTAAAAAAAAAAAAAACCTTTCAAAAGTTAAAAATAGGAGGTCTAAAAAAAAAAAAAAAGAAGATGTAAGAAAGAACCAATTGAAACTTCAGAACTGAAAAATACAATAATTAAAATAAAATACTGGATGGGCTCAGTAACAACATGTAGATGACAGAGGAAAAGCAAGTAAGCAGTGGACATGAAGATAAATCACAGAAACAATATAATTGAAGCAAAAGAAAAAATATATATTAAAAAATAAATTCAAACTCGGGTACCTGTGGGACATTAAAAAATATTTAAAAGTTATACAAAGTTTTTGGTTTCTCAGTGTATGTAAAAATTATGTCATATAGTCTTTTAAATTTGAAGTAACGTTTCTAAACACTCTAGTTGGAACAGGTTTGCTGCCTCATTACTGAAGAGTAGAGATAGGACATAGGTCTCTAGATACAGTGTCGGTGGCCATATTCCCATGATGTGTGTAAGTATTTATTTTTAAAAATAATAATTTCAAAAATGTAATAGAATGTGTTAAATAGTTTTAATAATATAAAAAATGAATACAAAAACTTCTATGTTAAATTGAGTTTATCTCACACAAAACTTTATTAAAAGCATGGTTGATTTGAAGATATTGCTCTATTTTTTTATAGAAAGAAATATTTCAAATAAAATGTTATTTTTAAACATTTCTGAAAACATACTTCTTAATACAGAGAATATTTAAAATTTATATTAAAAATTTATTTTAATTTTATTGGAAATACATATATAATATTATATATACTTCATCATGTTGGAAAAAATATAAAAATATATATGTTACATGTATATTTAATTTTAAATATATAAATATAAATACATAAATACATATTACATAAAAGTTATATTTATGTGATTTTATTGGAAATATATAAAATATATAAATATCTGTATATATTTAGAGATAAATATATTTTAAGCTCTTAAAATAGCATCTAATTTAAAAAATCTTCAAGTAAACACTTTGGCAGATATGGAATTGAATTTCTACTAATAAAAATTGCAATCATTGGGTGTTTTCTTGAAATATTTTATAATATAATTTTGGTACCTACTAATTGTCTTTTGTAGATAAACAAAATAAGAGCACACATTTTTCTGAAGTAAATTATGCATAAGATTAGTTGGGGAAAAATATATAATACATTTAAAACTCTATTATTTATAATAATTGTTTCTAAATCCTCAAAGTGCTGAACTTTGGCATTCAGAGCTGTGTTTCATATAGAAAACTAATAGCCAATGACAACTCATAACCTGTGTAGCCTACAGAATACTTATGATACTTCTCAGACATTCTTTTATATACAGGAATACCTCAGGGATATGGATGGTTCTGTTCTAGACCACTACAACAAAAACAAGTTACACAAAGTTTCTGGTTTCTCAGTGCATGTAAAAATTATGTCATATAGTCTTTTAAATTTGCAATAGCATGATGTCTATACAGCTCAATTAAAAACACTTTATTTCTAAAGCATGCTGACATGGAGATATAGAATAAGCACATGCTTTTGGAAAAATGGGGCTAACAGACTTGATCAAAGCAGTTTCTACAAATCTTCAATTTGCAAAAAAACACAATTGTTCAATAAAATGCAATAAAATTAGGTTTTTCTGTACTCAACATTGTATTATTAAAAAAAGATGCCCCTTTACAAATTATTATTATTTATTTATACTTTAAGTTCTGGGGTACATGTGTAGAATGTACAGGTTACTTAGGTATATATATGCCATATTTTATTGCAATCACCAATAATGGCCTCCTCTTAATACACAGGAATATAGGATGCTTAATACTGAAGGTCACTATTTAAAGTCTTCATTGCCTACTGAAGTTTAAAATGCTGATTGTTATTAGTGTAATCTGAATTGTCTTAATATAACAAGTGCAGCATAACTTCTTTAATTAATGTTAATTTAATTAGAAGACCAAAGAAAAAAATATTGCCAGTAATAAATTTGCCATGGTATACTGGGCAAATTCAAGCTCTGCACTTCAAGGCAAGGTCAATAAAATTTTTAGAGAAAGTAAAAATTTAGTTGAATAAAGAAAATAACAGGGAAAGATTTTTATTCCATGGATATATAAACTATGCAAACACTAATTAAATAAAATTAAAAATGTTTAAAAAGTAGGGAAATATAAACTATGCAACACTAAAGAAAGCTAAAGTGGCTATATTAATATCAAGTAAACAAAACTTTAGTGCTAAAATAATTACAATTACTAGAAACATAGAGGGTAATTACATAATGGTAAAAACATCAATTCATTAATTTATGAAGAAGACATACAAATTCTAAATGCACATCAACCAAAAGGGGAAAAATAGAACTAAAAGGATAAACAAATAAATGTACAATGTTACAAATTTTAAAACCTGATTGAGTTTCCCATTGCTATTATAACAAATTGCCACAAATTTAGTACCTTGCATTAGATAAATATCCTAACAATTGGAGGTCAGAAGCCTAAAATAGGTTGATAGGGCTGTGTTCCATTTGAACAATTTAGTGGAAGATCCAGTTTATTTTCTTTCTTTTTTTTTTTAATTGTACTTTAGGTTCTGCAGTACATGTGTAGATCATGTAGAGTTGTTGCATAGGTATGTACATGGCAAGGTGGTTTGCAGCCTCCATCACCCCATCATCTACATCTGGCATTTATCCCGTGTTATCCCTCTCCACCCCACACTGTCCCTCCCCCAGCCACCCCCAACTGACCCAAGTGTGTGATGCTCCACTCCCTGTGTCCACATGTTCTTATTGTTCAACACCTGCCTATGAGTGAGAACATGTGGTGTTTGATTTTCTGTTCTTGTGTCAGTTTGCTGAGAATGATACTTTTCAGATTTATCCATGTTCCTACAAAGGAACTGACCTCATTGTTTTTTTTATAGTTCTGTAGTATTCCATGGTGTATATGTCCCGCATTTTCTTTGTACAGTCTATAATTGATGGGCATTCGGGTTGGTTCTGGGTCTTTGCTACTAGAAACAGTGCCTCAATGAACATCCATGTGCATGTGTCCTTATAATAGAACAATTTATAATCGTTTGGATATATACCCAGTAATGGGATTGCCAGGTCAAATGGAGTTTCTATTTCTAGATTCTTGAGGAATTGCCACACTGTCTTCCACAGTGGTTGAACTAATTTACACTCTGACCAACAGTGTAAAAGAGTTCCTATTTCTCCACATCCTCTCCAGCATCTGTTGTCTCCAGATTTTTTGATGATCGCCATTCTAATTGGAGTGAGATGATATCTCAATGTGGTTTGATTTGCAATTCTCTAATGACCAGTGATGAAGAGCATTTTTTCATAAGTCTGTTGGCCTCATATATGTCTTCTTTTGAAAAGTGTCTGTTCATGTCCTTTGCCCACTTTTGAATGGGTTTGTTTAATTTCTTCTTGTAAATATGTTTTAGTTCTTTGTAGATTCTGGCTATTAGCCCTTTGTCAGGTGGGTAGATTGCAAAATTTTTTTCCCATTCTGTGGTTGCTGGTTTGCTCTAATGATTGTTTCTTTTGCTGTACAGAAGCTCTGAAGTTTAAATAGATCCCATTTGTCTATTTTGGCTTTTGTTGCCATTGCTTTTGGTGTTTTGGTCATGAAGTCCTTGCCTATGCCTATGTCCTGAGTGGTTTTGCCTAGGTTTTCTTCTAAGGTATTTATGGTGTTAGGTCTTATGTTTAAGTCTTTAATTCATCTAGAGTTAAATTTAGTGTAAGTTGTCAGGAAGGGGTCCAGTTTCTGCTTTCTGCACATTGCTAGCCAGTTTTCCCAACACCATTTATTAAACAGGTAATCTTTTCCCCATTGCTTGTTTTTGTCAGGTTTGTCAAGGATCAGATGGTTGTAGATGTGTGGTATTGCTTCCAAGGCCTCTGTTCTGTTCCATTGGTCTATGTCTCTGCTTTGCTACAAGTACCATGCTGTTTTGAATACTGTAGCCTTATAGTATAGTTTGAAGTCAGGTAGTGTGATGCCTCCAGCTTTTTCTTTTCACTTAGGATTATCTTGGCTATGTGGGCTCTCTTTGTTCCATATGAAGTTTAAAGTGTTTTTTTCCAGTTCTGTGAAGAAGGTCATTGGTAGCTTGATGAGGATAGCTAATATCTATAAATTACTTTGGTCAGTAAGGCCATTTTCATGATACTGATTCTTCCTAACCATGACCATGGAATGTTTTTCCATCTGTTTGTATCTTCTCTTATTTCCTTGTGCAGTGGTTTGTAGCTTTCCTTGAAGAGGTCCTTTACATCCTTTGTTAGTTATATTCCTAGGTATTTTATTCTCTTTGTAGCAATTGTGAATGGCAGTTCCCTCTTGATGTGGCTCTGTTTTAGTCTGTTATTGGTGTATAGAAATGCTTGTGATTTTGGCACATTGATTTTGTATGCTGAGACTTTGCTGAAGTTGCTTATCAGTTTAAGGATATTTTGGGCTGAGATGATGGGGTCTTCTAAATATACAATCATGTAATCTGCAGATAGAGACAATTTGACTTCTTCTTTTCTTAACTGAATACCCTTTATTTCTTTTTCTGGCCTGATTGCTCTGGCTAGAACTTCCAATACTCTATTGAATAGGAGTGGTGAAAGAGGGCATGCTTGTCTACTGCCAGATTTCAAAGGGAATGCTTCCAGTTTTTGCTCTTTCGGTATGATTTTGGGCATGGATTTGTTGTAAATAGCTTTTATTATTTTGAGGTACCCTTCATTGATACCTAGTTTATTGAAGTATTTTGGCATAAAGGGCTGTTGGAGTTTATTTTCTTATCCAGCATTTAGGGATGATCTGAATTCCGTGGCTTGCGGTGGTCTCTTCCTTGCATCCCTCTGGCCTCTGCTTCCATCATGACATCTCCTTTTTCTGTCTCGTATCCTGTTTCCTCTCTCTTAGAAGGATCATCAATAATACATTGGGCCTGGCCAAGCAATCCGAAAGAGTCTCCCCATCTGAAGATTGTTAACTGAATGGGTGGAGACATTTTGCCATGTAAGGACAAATATTTGTACACTCTTGAGACTAAGACATGAATATCTTATAGTGGCCATATTCAGCTTACAATATTTATTCCACATCAATTGATTGATCCATTAAACTGAAAATTATCAAAAATACAAAATAACTAAATAACACAACCAACAAGCAAAATCTACTGGATATTTATGAAACACTGTATGCAGCAACTGAATATGTATTCCTTATAAGCTTATACAGAATATTTAAGAAAATTGCCAATATCCTGTTTTATAAAAAATTATTAACATATTCCTAAGAATTGAAATTATATGAAGCATGTATTTTCATAATAAAAATAGAATCAAACAATAAAATCAGTAACAGAGAGATAATACCAAATACCTGAAAATTAAACATCACATTTGAAAACAATCTGTAAATTAAAAAAAAATACCACAGAAAATTAAAATACATATTTAGCTAAGTTTAATAAAAATTAAACTTAAAAATATCTCCCAGTTGTATCTAAAGCAGTACTTTTAGAATAAATGATAGCAATAAATGCTTTTATTAAAAAAGAAAACATTCTCAAATTAATAATCTAAGTTCTTACCCTGGTAAACCAATAAAGAGAAGCAAACTAAAACTAAAACAAGCAGGACAGAACTCAATAAAACAGAAAACAGAAAAATAATAAAGTTAATTAAACAAAAAGAGTGTCTTTGAAAAGATCAATTAAAATCAATAGAAGATCAATAAAATCAAAGCTTTAGAAATATGGACAAATAAAAAAGGAAAAAGACAAAAATCACCGTTGTCTGAAATGAAAGAATAGTAGCCTCTAAGACCCACTGTCATTTAAAAAATATGAGAAACTCTTATGCACATATTTTCAGCATTTAGATGAAATAAACTATTTGTAGACCACAATCAAAAATTAATAATAAGTAGCTAATACAAATAGTTTTGTAACAGTTAATGGAATAAAATTTCTTGTAAAACTCTTCTTAAATGGTCTTCCATCCCAGATGATTTCATTCTTAAACTATTCAAAATCTTTAAAAATAAATAATACCAATTGTGTATGATCATTTCCAGAAACTAGAAGATAAAATACTTCACGATTGTTTTATAGGGTCAACATTATGCACATATATATAAACTTCACACAAATCTTTCATAAGCACAAAGATACTCAAATATTAGCAATTCACAGTTATACATGGGATGTATGAAATATGCATATGTGTGTATATATACATATATAAATGTAGATAAATATAAATATGTGTATATATGTACATATATAGAGATATAAATATATTTGTGTAAATATAAATGTGTATGTGTGTGTGTATGTGTATATATATATATATATATATATATATATATATATATACATGTAAATATAGAAAGAGAGACAGACAGAGGAGAGAGAAAATTATACAGTACCTACAAGAGATTTTATTCCATGAATATCAAGCTGGTTAAATGTTTAAAAAAACAACTAATATAATACAACCTATTGACAAGCCAAAGATAAAACACCACATGATTCCATCATTTGAAACAAAAATCTATTTGGTAAAATTGAACATTCAGTCATTACAAAAACTACCAGCAAACTAAAAAATATAACATGATTAAAAAAAAACCTACAACAAATCTATGGTGGTTTTCAGACTTATTGATAAACACTGCTTTTCTCTTAAATTGGGAACAAAGCAAGGATATTGTCTCACAATTTTCATTAAAAAAAAGTGTGGATGTTTTAGTACATTAAAGCAAGAAAAGAAACAAATGACATAGATTGCAAAGGAAAAATTAAAATTCCTACTTGCAAGTGGCATGAGCATCTTCGTAGACAATCAGAAGGAATCTACAAAAAACTCCCTAAAACTAATAAATGAGTTAACTAATTTATGGGATATAGATCCTCACACACAAAAAATTCATGTTTATACATGTTAGCAATAAATATTTGGAAAGTAAAATTGTTTTTAAGTTTTTGACTTACAGAAAAATTGGGGAGATAGAATATACACAACCCAGATTTCCTTTAGTACATTAGTGTGATACATTTGTAATCATTAGTGAACCAATATTAATACATTATTATTATTTTATTGATTGATTGTATTATACTTTAAGTTTTGGGGTACATGTGCAAACTAAAATTAAACAGAATATCATTTAACATTTGCCAAAGTTGAAAACAAGTAAAAAGAAAAAAATTCTCTAAAAATGAATACCACAGCATCATAAACATCAAATTCTGCATACATCAATAGGACATTAAACATATGTTAGAACAAATTTAAATATTTATATAAAATTTCTGGAAATAAAACCTGTTGAAAAATGTTTTGTCACCAAGACAAATCTAGGCCCAAATAGCTTTACCAAGTAACTCTTCCATATACATACAGATGATACAACACCAGTTTTTTACAAACTCTTCCAGAAAATAGAAAAAAGAGGAAACACTTCTTAGGCTATGAGCCAATGGTAAACTTGATTTCAAAGCCTGATGAAAATATTCTAAAAGGAAAAGAAAAAGATAATTATTTCATAAGAGGTAGATGAAAATACTCTTCAGAAATATTAGCCAATGAGTATCCTTCAAATATAAAAAAAATACATCATGAATAAGTGGGGTTTCCTTCAGATAAGCAAGAGTAGATTACTGTTAGAAAATCAATCCAATTTATAGATAAATAATATAAAGAAAAATATATGATTATTTGATCAATGCTGTATAATTATTTCAAGAAATAAAATGGTAAACTCAAAGGGAATTTATTTTTCAGATAAAGAACATGTACCACAAAAATCTACAACAGTTATACTAATTGAGAAGACCTTGACAACTTTATCCTGGAATCAGGTATAAAAGAAAAATATCTGCTATCATCATTTCTATTCAACATTGTATTAGAGGTTCTAGCTAGTTCAACAAAACAAGCAAAATAAATAAGGTATAAATATTAGAAGAAATTAAACTGTAATAATTCAGAGATAACTATGATTTTAGAAAATGCCAAAGAATATATAGGCTATCATAATTAATTAATATGTGATTTTAGCAATCTGGGATCATGTTTAATTAGCATTAGATTAGCATTAGAAATACAAAAAGCATTAGAAATAGAGAAATATAAGAAAGTTAATTTTCTTGCTGTCTGGCACCAAAAACTCATAAAAATAAATTATAAAATTATTTAAACTTAGTTTAAAAGAAACAAATGTTACAAATCTAAGGAGATATATATTAAGGCCTCTACAAACACACATAAAAAACTACAAACATTCTGAACATAGGATTTCTAAATAAATGGAGAGATATACAATGATTATTAACTAACGACTTAAAGTGAAATAAAAATTAGTTCTCACCAAAATGTTTTATATGCTCAAAGCAGTTTCACATAACATTTTAAAAGTTGGGTTTCTGACTAGTTTTTATTAAAACTCACATAGAAACTCACAAGACAGAATATTTTCAATGAAAAAGAAGAGTTGCTGGATTTACCCTACTAGATATCAAAGAACCTGACATAATGTGTTATGAATTCATACATTTAGCTGTTGTCATTATGACATTTAAACTTTTCAATATACAAAATGAAGAATGCATAAATAGTACAACATATATAATTTCAGCACCAGAGCAGGCACACTCTTCAAATGATTTAGGTGTTGAATAACCTAAAGCCTTAGAGAAAAAGAGGCTCACACCTGTTTTTAATAAATGAACAAGTCCCAAGAACAGGAACTAAACTGAAAACTCCCATTTTTTTTTCAGATTTATGCATAAATTATTCTACCTCCAACAGATGTTTTAAGAAAATTGTCAGAAGGAAATAACATCACCAATATGGAAGAAACTTTCCAGTGGTCATCCCCTACAGAAACATCAATGTACACAACTGTCTGTTTATAAAAATAGCTTCACATGTACTAAGGAATTGAAGTGAGAGGATTACAGTAGCTGGATGTTTATCTGAAATAAGAAAACCATAGTGAAGGTAGGAAGAACAGTTTTACATTATTCAGATCACTCCTCTCCCCAAACTAGGCAGCTCAGTGATAAGAGAGATACTCTCTACATAGGGAAGAAGAGAGCATTAAAAGGATCACACAACATAATAAAGCATGATTTATTCTTAAGTTGCACAGATGCTTTAATATGTAAATAAATGTGATACAACACATTAACATAATAAAAGATAAAGACTAAATGATCATCTCAATAAATGCAGAAAAATTTGACATAATTTGACATATATCCATGATAAAATTTCTTAACAAATTAGGCATAGAATGTATTTCAACATAATAAAGACTGTTTGTGACAAGCTGCAGCTAACATTACAATTACCAGTAAAAAGCTGAAGCTTTCCTCCAAGATAAGAAATAAGACAAGAATGCTCACCCTCACCACTTCTGTTCAATATAGTTCTGGAGGTCCTATTGAGAGAAATTAGAAAAAATATATATTTTTAAACATACAGATTGGAAACAAAGAAGTAAAATTGTTTCTATTCCTGATGACATGATCTCATATGGAGAAAACTCTGAAATCTCCACCCGAAAATGCTTAGAATTAGTTTTAAAAACTCAATAAAGTGGAAGGATACAAAATCAGCAAACAAAACATAGTAGAATTTCTGTACACTTATAATGGACTATCCAAAAATTAAATCAAGACAACAATCCCACTATAATATCATAAAAAATTAAATACTTAGGAATAATTCTATCCAAGCAGGAGGAAGAGCTGTACACTGATTACTATAAAACATTAATGAAAGGAATTAAAAATGATACAAGTATATGAAAATATATCTCTTGTTCATAGATTGAAAGAATTAATGTTACCATAATGTCCATATTACCCAATGCAGTCTACAGATACAATGTAATTTCTATAAAAATTCCAGGAGTTTTTCAGAGAAATAGAGAAAATCATCTTAAAATTTATATAAAACTACACAAGACATAAAATAGCCAAGACAATCTCAAGCAAAGAGAACAAAACTGAAGATATACTACCTGATTTCAAAATATATAGTTGTCAAAATATTATCACCCTGGCATAGTAATCAAAACAAAACTATAGTAATCAAAGCATCATAGTACTGGCATAAAAACAACATATATTCCAATGGAACAGAATAAGGATCCCAGAAATAAATCCACACAGTTAAGGTCAATTAGTCTTTTAGAAACATGTCAATAACACATAATGGGGAAAGGATAGTGTCTTCAAAAAATGGATCTAGGGGCCGGGCGCGGTGGCTCAAGCCTGTAATCCCAGCACTTTGGGAGGCCGAGACGGGTGGATCACGAGGTCAAGAGATCGAGACCATCCTGGTCAACATGGTGAAACCCCGTCTCTACTAAAGATACAAAAAATTAGCTGGGCATGGTGGCGCGTGCCTGTAATCCCAGCTACTCAGGAGGCTGAGGCAGGAGAATTGCCTGAACCCAGGAGGCGGAGGTTGTGGTGAGCCGAGATCGCGCCATTGCACTCCAGCCTGGGTAACAAGAGCGGAACTCTGTCTCAAAAAATAAAAAAAATGGATCTAGGAAATCTTGATATCCACATGCAGAAGAATGATATCCTGTCTTTATCTCACATCATATATAAAAGTCAACTCAAAAATGGATGAAAGTCTTAAATACATAACTCATGAAACTGAAAAAGTATTAATAAAAATACAAAGTAAGTTCTTGATGTTGGTCTGGACACTGATTGTTTTTTTAATGTTCATTTAGATATGACCCCAGAATCACAGACAACAAAAGTAAAAGATAGAAAATAGAATTGCATCAAACTAAAAAGCTTCTACACAGCAGAGGAAACAATTAACAGAGTGAAGAGAGAACCTATAGAGTGGGAAAATGTATTGGAGTTTAATACTTAAAAATATATATAAGGAATTTATATAACTCAATAGCAAAGAAAGAAATGAACAAACTAAAAATGGGCAAAGTACCTGAATAGACATTACTCAAAAGAAGACACATAAATTGGCTTTGTGCTGTGGCTCACAGCTGTAATCCCAGCACTTTGGAAGGCCGAGAGAAGCAGATCATGAGGTCAGGAGTTCAAGACCAGCCTCACCATCGTGGTGAAACCCTGTCTCTACCCGAATTAGAAAAATTAGCTGAAAATGGTGGTGTGTACGTGTAATCCCACCTACTTGGGAGGCTGAGGCAGGAGAATCCCTTCAACTGAGGAGGAGGAGGTTGCCATGAGCCTAGATGTGCCACTGCACTCCCACCTGGGCAACAGAGCAAGTCTCTGCCTCAAAAAGAAAAGAAAAAAAGAAGATGACATAAAGATTGCCCCCAGGCATATGAAATGCTGCTCAACATCAGTAATCAATGCAGATCAAAACCACGTCAAGGGATCCTTTCGGTTGGTGTGGATATGGAGACAAAAAATGAACCCTTGCATAACTTGGTTAGAATGTAAATTAGTACAACTACTATGAAAAACTGTAATGAGGTTCCTCAAAAAATTGAAAATAGAACTACCATTTGATCCAAAATACACATAGGAAATGAAGTCATCATATCAGAGATATGCCTGGTTCCCATTATTCTTAAAATTTCATTCACAATAGCCAAGATATGGAACCAACCTATGAGTGTGTCAGTGGATGAACTGATTTCTTTTAAAAACGATATGTATATTCAGCGGAATATTATTCAGCCTTAAAAAAAAATAAGGAAATACTGCCATTTGCACCACATAGGTGAAGCTAGAAAACATTATGCTAAGTAAAATAAGCCAGACCCAGAAGGACAAATCTTGAGTGATCACACACACACACACACACACACACACACACACACACACATATATATATGTAATCTAAAAATGTCAAAATCACAGAAGGAAGTAGAATGGTGGTTACTAGGGGTTGAGGATAAGTGGGGAGACTTTGCTCAGAGTAGAAAGTTTCAGTTAGAATGAATAAGTTGTGTAGATTTATTGTATGGTAACTATTGATAATGACACTATTATATACCTAAAAAATTTTAACAAAGATTTTAATGTTTTCACAACACACAAAATGAGTTCATATTTGCAGGGCTTCCTTAGTAATCCTTCATCAAGTATTAAAACATTAGAAAACTAGTGAGTAGTGTATGCAAATGATACTCAGTTACATTAAAGAATATTCATCTAGGTCCCGTTGAAACTAATTTGCAAGTGGCAGAAGAGTTAAGAAGACACAAGTAAGCTGAAGGGAGAAAAAAATGTAGAAATGCAAAAGCAAAAACAGAGTCACTTCAAAACACATGTTTATTTTTAAGTCTTTATTGTCCTTTAAAATGCAAAATTTAGTTATTTTTTTAATTAGGCAGTTTAGGAATTATAGTAGTTGTTAGTTGCTGTATAACTGAATTTTATTTTATTTAGAAAAGTATAATTAATGCCAACTTAAATTGGATTTCACATTCATTTGTTTCCACTTATAATTTGTTTCACTACCAATTATGGCATTCAGTCTCAGCAGAGTTACCAGCACCTTTCTGTAACTTTTGTTGCTGTTTTGTACTTAGCTACTTTTCCAGGTTCATTCAAAAAAATTTTAAGGTGGTTTTTATGTGAGATACACTGGGCTATTTTCAGTAACATAAAACAAGCAAAGATTTTCATTACCTGAAAGAAATACATGATTTTTTAAAAAAAGCAAAATTACTAAATATTCAAGTATTCACACTCTTTTTTGGCCACATATTTGTATTAACATTCTCATGGAAATAAAATATATTGTTTAATAATTGAGAATTATTTCAATTATTACAACATGTACTAATTAGTTGATATATATTTCCCATTCTAAAGCATAACTTGCACAAAGCAAATATCATATTTTATCATTCTTATGCCCTGTGCATATCAGGATATTGCTCATATAAAATTATTCAGAAAACGCTACAGGAAAATGGCTGTGCTGTTAATGGCATTAACACATAGAGAAGGACATATAAAGGATGAAAGGAAGTAATATGATGATGGTTGGCTTTTGATATTTCCATTTAAATTTTGATTCGTGTATAATACTTATAAATAGCATTAAAGAAAGATAAATACAAATAAAGGTTAGTAAGGCTGAAAAGAAATAACTGAAAAGATAGAAAACATAGTATGATATGAGTCAATATGGAACTTTTTTTGTTATTTTTTATTTTTGTGGATACGTAGTAGATGTGTATATTTACAGAGTATGAGTTACTTGGAAATAGGCCAGCAATGTATAATAATCACATCATGGAAGATGGGATATCTATCCTCTCAAGCATTTATCCTTTCTATGAGTTACAAATAATTAAATTGTACTATGCCTGTTATTTTAAAACCTACAGTTAATTATTATTGAATTATTGATTATAGTCACTCTGTTGTGCTATCAAAGACTAGGTCTTATTCATTTCCCACAACAATCTACTGCCCTTCTTAGCCTCTGATAGCCTTTATTCTACTCCATCTGCATAAGTTCAATAGTTTTGATTTTGGGATCCCACAAATAAGCTAGAACATGGGATGTATGTCTTTCTGTGACTGGCTTATTTCATTTCACATAATGACCTACAGTTCCATCCATGTTAATGCAAATAACTGAATCTTATTTCTTAATGGTTGAAGAGTACTCCATTGTGTATATGTACGTTTTCTTTATCCACTTATCTGTTGATGAACACTTAACGTTGCTTCCAAAGGAAGTGCAGACAGCTCTTGGATAGGTTGATTTCCATACTTTTCAGTGTATACTTGGCAGTGGGATTTCTGGATCATATTTTTACTTTTATGAGGAGTGACCAAATTGTTCTTCATAGTAGTTGCACTAATTTACATTCTCACCAACACTGTACAAGGTTTTCCTTTTTAACATATTTTCAACAACATTTCTCATTGCCTGCCTTTTGGGTGCCAGCCATTTTAACCAGAGTTGGATAATATTACATTGTAGCTTTGACTTGCATTTCTCTGATGATCATTGATGTTGAGCACCTTTACATATGTCTGTTTGCTTTTTGTATGTCTTCTTTAGAAAAATGTCTACTCAAATATTTTTTCTCATTTAAAAACTCAGATCATTAGATTTTTCTTCCTATAGAGTCGTTTAAGCACCTTATTTGTTTTGATTATTAAGCCATTGTGAGATGGGTAGTTTGCAAATACTTTCTTCCATTCTGTGGGTTGTCTCTTCACTTTGTTGACTGTTTTCCTAGCTGTGCTTTTTAATTTGATGTGATCCCATTTGTCCATTTGTGCTTTGGTTGCCTCTTTTTGTGGAGTATTGTTCAAGAAATCTTTGTCCAGACCAAGGTCTTGGAGAGTTTACCGTTTTTTTCTTACCCATCCTTTTCCTGTAGTAGTTCGATATTTTGAGGTCTTAGATTTAATTATTTAATTCACTTGATTTTTTTATATGGCAAGAAACAGTCCAATTTCATTTTTCTGCATATGAATATCCAGTTTTCCTGGCACCATTTTCTGAAGAGACAGTCCTTTTCCCAGTGTATGTTCTTGGCATCTTTGTCAGAAATGAGTTTACTGTAGGTATGCGGATATGTTTCCGGCTTCTTAATTCTGTTCTATTGGTCAGTGTGTTTGTTTTTATACCAGTACCATATTGTTCTGGTTATTATAGCTCTGTCATATAATTTGAAGTCAGGTAATGTGATTTCTCTAGCGTTGTTCTGACTTAAGACAACTTTGGCTATTATGAGTCTTTTGTGGTTCCCTTTAAATTTTAGATTTTTTTTTTCTATTTCAGCAAAGAAAGTCATTGGTGTTTTTGTAGGGATTGCATAAAATCTGTAGATTGCTTTGTGTAGTATGGACATTGTAACAATATTGATTCTTTCAATCTATGAACATGGGATATTTTTCAGTTATTTGGTGTCTTTTCAATTTCTTTCATCCGTACTTTGTCGTTTTCATTATAGAGATCTTCTACTTTGTTGGCTAATTCTTATTAGTTACTTTTATGTGTAACTATTGTAAATGGGATTCCTTTTTTAAGTTCTTTTTCATATTGTTGACTGTTGACATACAGAAATGTTACTGATTTTTGTATATTGATTCTGTATCCTGCAACTTTACTGAATTGGTTTACCAGTACTAATAGTTTTCTTGCGGAGTTTTTTTTTTTTTTTTTTTTTTGGCTTTTTGGAATATAAGATCATATCATCTTAAAACAAAGATAAGTGACTTTTTCTTTTCCAATTTGGATGACCTTTATATTCTTCTCTTATCTGATTGTTCTAGCTAGGACTGCCAGTAGTATTTTGAAAAATGGTGGTAAAAATGGGCTGCCTTGTCATATTCCACATGTTAAAGGAAGGGCTTTGGTTTTCCCCATTCCGTATGATGCTAGCTGTAGGTCTATCATATATGACTGTTATTATGTTGAAGTATATCCCTTCTGTACCTAGATTTTAAGAATTTTTATCATGAAGACATGTTGCCTCTATAGTCATCAGGGATATTGGCCTGTAGTTTTCTGATGTGTCTTTGTTTGGTTTGGCAACAATATAATACTGGCTTTGTAGAATAAATCTGGAAGTATCTCCTTCTCTATTCTTT